ATGAAGAAAAAACCAAACTTCGTGAAAATCGGATGAGATTTGACCGAGTTATGGGGGTAATTTTTGACCCATGTCTATATACGAATCTTGAGGTAAGATTTGGACATGAATTTCGACCAAAAAATCGGTGTCGAGATTTGAATGCCACATTAATCAAGAGGGAAACTCATGAAGAAAAAACCAAACTTCGTGAAAATCGGATGAGATTTGACCGAGTTATGGGGGTGGTAATTTTTGACCCATGTCTTTATACGAATCTTGGGGTAAGATTTGGACATGAATTTCGACCAAAAAATCGGTGTCGAGATTTGGATGCCAGATTAATGTAGAAGGAAAACCATGAAGAAAAAGCCAAACTTCGTGAAATTCGGATGAGATTTGACCGAGTTATGGGGGTGGTAATTTTTGACCCATGTCTATATACGAATCTTGAGGTAAGATTTGGACATGAATTTCGACCAAAAAATCGGTGTCGAGATTTGAATGCCACATTAATCTAGAGGGAAAACCATGAAGAAAAAGCCAAACTTTGTGAAAATCGGATGAGATTTGGCCGAGATATGGGGGTGGTAATTTTTGACCCATGTCTATATACGAATCTTGGGGTAAGATTTGGACATGAATTTCGACCAAAAAATCGGTGTCAAGATTTGAATGCCACATTAATCTAGAGGGAAACCCATGAAGAAACACCCAAACTTCGTGAAAATCGGATGAGATTTGACCGAGTTATGGGGGTGGTAATTTTTGACCCATGTCTATATACGAATCTTGAGGTGAGATTTGGACATGAATTTCGACCAACAAATCAGTGTCGAGATTTGGATGCCAGATTAATCTAGAAGGAAAACCATGAAGAAAAAACCAAACTTCGTGAAAATCGGATGAGATTTGACCGAGTTATGGGGGTGGTAATTTTTGACCCATGTCTATATACGAATCTTGGGGTAAGATTTGGACATGAATTTCGACCAAAAAATCGGTGTCGAGATTTGGATGCCAGATTAATGTAGAAGGAAAACCATGAAGAAAAAGCCAAACTTCGTGAAATTCGGATGAGATTTGACCGAGTTATGGGGGTGGTAATTTTTGACCCATGTCTATATACGAATCTTGAGGTAAGATTTGGACATGAATTTCGACCAAAAAATCGGTGTCGAGATTTGAATGCCACATTAATCTAGAGGGAAAACCATGAAGAAAAAGCCAAACTTTGTGAAAATCGGATGAGATTTGGCCGAGATATGGGGGTGGTAATTTTTGACCCATGTCTATATACGAATCTTGGGGTAAGATTTGGACATGAATTTCGACCAAAAAATCGGTGTCAAGATTTGAATGCCACATTAATCTAGAGGGAAACCCATGAAGAAACACCCAAACTTCGTGAAAATCGGATGAGATTTGACCGAGTTATGGGGGTGGTAATTTTTGACCCATGTCTATATACGAATCTTGAGGTGAGATTTGGACATGAATTTCGACCAACAAATCAGTGTCGAGATTTGGATGCCAGATTAATCTAGAAGGAAAACCATGAAGAAAAAACCAAACTTCGTGAAAATCGGATGAGATTTGACCGAGTTATGGGGGTGGTAATTTTTGACCCATGTCTATATACGAATCTTGGGGTAAGATTTGGACATGAATTTCGACCAAAAAATCGGTGTCGAGATTTGAATGCCACATTAATCAAGAGGGAAACTCATGAAGAAAAAACAAAACTTCGTGAAAATCGGATGAGATTTGACCGAGTTATGGGGGTGGTAATTTTTGACCCATGTCTTTATACGAATCTTGGGGTAAGATTTGGACATGAATTTCGACCAAAAAATCGGTGTCGAGATTTGGATGCCAGATTAATGTAGAAGGAAAACCATGAAGAAAACGCCAAACTTCGTGAAAATCGGATGAGATTTGGCCGAGATATGGGGGTGGTAATTTTTGACCCATGTCTATATACGAATCTTGGGGTAAGATTTGGACATGAATTTCGACTAAAAAATCGGTGTCGAGATTTGAATGCCAGATTAATCTAAAGTAAAAACCATAAAGAAAAAGCCAAACTTCGTGAAATTCGGATGAGATTTGACCGAGTTATGGGGGTGGTAATTTTTGACCCATGTCTATATACGAATCTTGAGGTAAGATTTGGACATGAATTTCGACCAAAAAATCGGTGTCGAGATTTGAATGCCACATTAATCTAGAGGGAAAACCATGAAGAAAAAGCCAAACTTTGTGAAAATCGGATGAGATTTGGCCGAGATATGGGGGTGGTAATTTTTGACCCATGTCTATATACGAATCTTGGGGTAAGATTTGGACATGAATTTCGACCAAAAAATCGGTGTCAAGATTTGAATGCCACATTAATCTAGAGGGAAACCCATGAAGAAACACCCAAACTTCGTGAAAATCGGATGAGATTTGACCGAGTTATGGGGGTGGTAATTTTTGACCCATGTCTATATACGAATCTTGAGGTGAGATTTGGACATGAATTTCGACCAACAAATCAGTGTCGAGATTTGGATGCCAGATTAATCTAGAAGGAAAACCATGAAGAAAAAACCAAACTTCGTGAAAATCGGATGAGATTTGACCGAGTTATGGGGGTGGTAATTTTTGACCCATGTCTATATACGAATCTTGGGGTAAGATTTGGACATGAATTTCGACTAAAAATCGATGTTCAGATTTGAATGCCAGATTAATCTAGAGGGAAAACCATGAAGAAAAATCCTATATCATATATATATTCTATTTTAGAAGCTATATGTCACGTTTGGTGACTCTAGCTCTTATTATTTACCAAAATTTCCCAAAAAAAACAGGATATCGATATAGATTTTTATCGATTGCTTGGAAACGGATTATGTTATCGATTATCAGAAACAAACTCGATCTGCGTAGGCACTAGAAGCACCTACATCTAAAATTTCAAATCTCTAGGTTCTGAGATCCTTGCGTTCATACCTACGGACGGACGAACGGACGGACAGACAGACGGACATGGCTAGATCGACTCGGCTATTGGTGCTGATCAAGAATTTATATACTTTATGGGGTCGGAGGTGCTTTCTTCTGCCTGTTACATACATTTGGATTTTGCACAAATACAATATACCCTTATACCCAATTTTAATGGGTTCAGGGTATAAAAAAACTCGCAATCGTTTCTTTGATTTCATTTTTGCCATTACATAATTTATTTTATTTTTCGGCATGCTAGACAGCAATCAGCGCTAAATTGCGTAATTATTGCCAGAGTTGATTTTATCAAAAATAAATAAGAGACGCGTATCAATTAATTGTAACTATAAAAAAATGAAAATCAATTCCAAGCCAATGCACTTAATGTGCCATAATTACGGTGCCAGCGTCAACATTTTGTAACCAGCAAATGGCCAATTGCAAATCATTTATAACAATTGCAATCAATTTGAATTTGAATACAACTAGCAGAGCGCGCGTCCCTTGATTAGAACCAGCACAATGCAAAATTGAAATATAATATATTAATGGAGCAATGAATAAATTCGAAACATCAGTTTTGTTGTTCTCTTTGTATAATTTTCATAATGTTGCACACGAATTGCTTGTTAATGCTGTTTATAGCCTACAAAATAATTAATGCGCACAAATTATGCCATTTACATTTGGTATTCCGCATGCATTGATGGCGTAAAAAATTGTGAATTGCAATTAAATAAGAAAGCATAATGCTAAAGATTAAAAAATAACTAACTCATTTTAAGACAACTTTAATATTTGAAATGATAGCCTTGCAAGCATTTGACAGACATATGACGACATATATCTTATGTTACATATTCATTCTTTTTTTTTAATATAGACTGCAAATGCATTTTTAAAGCAGCTGCATTTATTTGATGTGCGTCGGTGTGTATGTGTGTGAAAAACCGCAAAACTTTGTCATAATATTTGCATTTTTCTCGAACGCCGAATTGGCCATTGTTGTTGCTGCTGCCGTCAACGTGGCTGGTTCAGTTGTTACGTTACATGTTTTAATGCATATGCATGCACTTAAAAAAAAGAATTGTTCCATTATTAAAAAAAAAAATAAACAAATTTGCCAATAAACGTAAGCTTTTCCAATGTCAGAGAACAGATTTTTAAAATTGTTTCTTACATAAAGAAAACATAAACTTGAAAAATATCGTTTAGAAAATTGTATATGCCTTTTTATAAAATATATTTTCTGCATTTAAGCAATGGTTTATTTGATTTTTAAAACATGCTTTACTTTGCAGATATTTTTTTATATAAATTGCTTAAGATCAAATAATAAAGCCGATTTCGTGCTGTTTGTTTTCTGAGTGGATAAACATACATGCATATATGCATATATATAGATATGATATTTTCCTGTCTACCCGTCACTTGTTTAACATAAAATTTAAATAAAAATCACATACAATATGTAAACAGTAATACGTATGTGCGTATTTCCTGCGAAAGCTTCGCTTTCCAAAGGAAGCATCACTCCATGGCCGTCTTTACTCTGTCTGCTCTTTTTATGTGCACTGATTATTTTCATGACATTGGTAGCATGGACTCGTGGATTGTGGTTGTTTTTCTTCTTCTTGTAATTTCCGTCTGTTAACACAATTTGCAAATTTTTGCCCGGCTCCCGCTGGGATTTGAGTTCCGTTCGCTTGCGGCTTTTCATTTCCATTACCATTTTGGGCCTCGCAATTGCAAAGCACAACTAAATCAGCTAAATCTTACGAGATAAACTATAACATATACAAATTCTATGCAAATGCCAGCCACGAAACAATGCCGACCCAAGCGGGTATGCATACATGTGTGTGTGTGTGTGTTACATTTTTTACTGGGGGGCGTCTGTATGAGGGGCAATTGCAGACGAGCACTTGGCACGCGCCAGACTCGTTTAAGGGTGCAATAAATAAAGATGATAATTTACGTTAAAATATAAAATGGGATAAACCCTAATGCACAGTGAAACCTTTTTACTGAAACTGATCGGCGAGATTCATTTGCCGCACTATGGTAATAATGCTGAATGCAAATTTGGCCACCTGGAAAAATGAGATTCGCAGGACCTTTGTAGATTTTGTGACCTTTATAATATCTCAGAAGTACTCACACTTATATTGCTGTTCATTGAGATGGGAAAGATGCCGCCGGCTATAAAAATGATTGGTTGTTGTACGTGGTGCATGAAGTTAATCATGGTTGTTTTATAGCGCGGCTCCGCATCGATCCAATTGGATTGGAAAATTGTGTTGGCCAAGTCCTCGCTGTCATCTATCAGTAAATTGCAGGTATAGCAGAAGGGAAACGTCTCTAGCAGAATGGTAAGGACAAACAAAACGGAACCGAAACCTTGCCAGAAGTTTGAGAAGAAGAATAAGTTGATCAGGGTCAAGCCCAATACCAGGCCTATGAGCAGAAACTGCACAAATATCGTGCCATATATAATTGGACGTAGCTGGTTGCAGCATCTAGCAGATCAGATTTTATTTGTCACATTGCTCAAACACGCAACCTTCACAATTGACAGTCTCACCTGAGAACTAGTTTGTGATCCATTATGCAATCGATAAGGTCCTCATAGTTCTCCCTCTCGGTCCTGGTTGGATTCATGCGCAAATTGCGTATGTGATCCTTAAGCACTTCCAAATGAGCGCGAAAGATGAGCGTGAACATTAGCGGATACGTGTCGGACAATTGAGCTTGCAGCACGGCAAAAGACATGGTGAAATACTCAAGGATCGAGTGCATCCATAAGCTGAGCGGGCCATCACGCCAGTCCAAAAATGGAATATATATGGCCCAGGGCGAAGTACCGCTAAGCACCATCGACAGGAACGTGGAGCCCGCAAAGCCGCAATAGATGAAAGTATAGATCAGAAAGGCGTAATTGCAGCGCGCCACTACAGTGTGAATCTTCTTGCGATCGTCGTCGTTCAGCAAACGCTCATCCAGTCTGTCCAGCAAGATTCTTGTTTGGCTCAGACGTCGTAGGTAACTGCACGTGACAAGCGACTTGGCCGATGCACCGTACACATTAACGGCCAGCTGCAATGAGGTGAAAAACTCGCCGGGCTCAAAATTGCTGAACTCCCTCACATAGCTAATGACGAACGCGACAGGCAGATAGAACACTCCAAAGAAGTAGGTCACAAATGTCCAGATGAGATACACATACCGACCCTTGCCCGCCTTTGGTGGCAACCAGCCAATTACCCACATGCCTCTATACATGTAGATGCAGCCATCCCGAGAGGCGATCCGCTCCGTGAGCGGCGCTGGTTTTATTAACTTGAATGTCGGGGCCATTGCAATAGCCAAACACTTTTGTTTTGCAGCTAATACCAGCAGGCGGCTTTTATACAAGTACCAGGTGAAACAAGCTGGGCAGCTGCTCGATTCTCGCGACTGGCTGTTTGCATGGCTCATATTAAGAATTAATTGAACGTAAATGTTTCAATTGAAAATATTATTATTCCTCTGCACTAAGTTTGGGTCAATATAATGAATAAGGAATGCTGTTGATATTATTAAATCAACACCAGCGTTCGTCGATTCACACTGAAAATTAATTATTATAAATTTAAAGCTGCACTATTGATAATAAATGGGGCAAGTTCCAAGAATGGCCATCGGTTGGCAGTGTCTAGTTGATCAACAACCAACTTGACTTGTCGCTTGGAATAAAATTATGTTTTCCGAGAATTTTTAGCTATGACAACCAGAATATTCTTACCGCTTACAGAAAAGCCTTTCAACAGCAAATATATTGTTATTTTGTGGATTTTTGCTTTGACATTGCCAATTGAATGGGCTTCTAGGAAAACTGAAAACTAGCAGAAATTAACTTGGAGAAAATAAAATAAAGCTGACGAAGGAAATAGCTATTGAATTCTTCAGGTATGCTATTTAGCTGGAGAAAATAAAATAAAGTTGACGAAGGAAATAGCTTTTGAATTCTTAAGGTATGCTATTTAGCATAAATAAAATTATATTATAGATTCACATTTTACGAACTTTAAGGAAAAATACGAGTACAAGTCAAATCTAATAAATGTCGAACATTGTATTGTTTCCTCTATTGACAAGCACTAAGGAATTGGATGATCAAAAATTATAATATTAACTAACAAGTTATTGGCAGATTTCGAAAAAAATTGTTGAATGCTCTTCTATTTACGAGAAGCTTAAATGGCATTTAAGAAGTGAATCCTTTATTCAACAATTCGTGTAAAAAATGTCAAATCTAGTAGCCCAGTCAGGGATTCTCAACTTGAGCTGCACTTATTATATTAGCTTATTCAGCAGGACAAAGCGCTTAGCGTTTGGACAGAAATGTTACCGGTGCCCTTGCATAATCGCATTACCCTAAGCTCGTGTCTAGTTGATGCATAGTTGATCAGAATTTGGCATGTCTATCGATTATTTCAGTCAAACAATTCTTTTATAAGTTACCTTTTTGCTTTTTTTTTTTACCTTGCAGCCTTCCACCTGTACTCGAACCGAACCGAAGAACGCGTCGAGGACGATACGCTGGCCGTGAAGTACGAGGATGGCAGATGGTCAAAGCCATATTACGACTGCGGCGGTGGCAACATTTGGATGCTAACGTACACGGTGCCATTCTTTGGCTATGAGAATGGCAGCTATCACTTCAAGTAAGTAACAGCAGAAAAGTCAAAAACAATTGCAATACACAAATCGGAAAGTAGATCTCAAGGGAAATGATGGCCAAAGTGGGCTGAATGTGGATGAATGTGTGTGGGTGTTGCCCATTTTATAAATAATTTACACAAAAAGGATGCAGAAACAAGAAGGAATGGCTATCTGCAGTAGAACGAAGATTAAATACCCTTCAGGACGTTTATACAAATTATTTATTTCCCAGCGATTGTTCCTATAAGAACCATAACAAAACAGTAGGACAATTTTAGACAGTCTGTAGATATGCTAGTTGCTGAGGATATCTTGAAAAAAAAACGTTGATTAATAATAACGAAATCTTTTCCATAGATGATAAAGCAGTCATCATATGATAAAGAAGTCGGCCTCTGATAAGATTAATCTTATATATTAACAGCACAGCCAAACTTATAAATGCCGACATTTTTCATCCTATTCAAAGTGAGAGAGAGAAACATTTAAACAGGAAGCTAAGCTTGGCTTAACGCATGAGTACTTATTTAGTATATTTATATATATATATATTATTTGTGAAAGCAAAGACGTCTCCCGATTCTCTGGATGCATATAAAAATTAAATGGTCTGAAAGTTGCCATTGCTCAGTTCTTCAAGACATTGTTTTCGCTCTTATTGTTTTGGCGGGCAGCATTTTTCCGCTGTCAGCTACAGTTGCCGCCACGAATGACAAAATATGAAATGTAATGTCCTTTCCTTGCCAGAGCTGAGCTGTTAAGCAGCTAAGCAGTCTCAGTGTAGCTGAGAAGTGACCCATTGGTAGCAATAACAATGAGTGCCACAGATCTTGCTTCCTATGCTGAACGTGCAGCATCCGGAGTGGCAGGAACTTTGGCGGACAGTTGGAAAAATTTCAATCACGCACCGGCAAACGGAATACGTTAACATGGACACTATACATACTTCTGAAACTTTATGACGCGCTGCCCACACCAACATTCTACTTTTAACAAAATTTTGTAATTTTTTTGTTCGCTTTATTTTCTTTTTGAGCATAGTTCTCTTTGGGAAAACTTTCTCAATTGAATGTTATAGCAAAAGTTGGCAAACTGTGGGAAAAGTCAGAATTGAGGAGGACTCAAGGAAGTTACACAATTTAATGAAAATTTCATTGATGTTGGCCCGAGACGGTTGGCCAAATCAATAAATTTGAAACATTTCGTTTTTTTTAAGGGGCCTCTCTGGGAATGAAGAGTGCACTTTGAGCATATCTAATTAATTCACTTGGCTGACAGGAGACTGCGACGTGGTGTGAGCAGACAATACAAAAAGATGTGTTCCTTTCATTAAATTTGTTAAATCAGCTGTAAGTGTCAGTTGCTTTATTCGAAATATTTGCGAGCCCAAAAACCCTTAATGGAACTAAGCACGCGGCTTTTACCATAAACAAGGCTATTGGATGGGCAACAACAAAAACTAAAACAACTGAAGCTACAAATAAAAATGTGTACAAGTGTTCTGGACGGGAATAATCGACTAGGCGATACCCTACACTGATTATATACCACCTAAAATACATTCCAGTTTAATGTGCAGTGGGTTGGATATCCGAAATTTGAATATTTTGGATCTGTGTATACAATCTGAGAACCTACATGTACAAATTTGTACACATACATACACAAAATCGAAACCAAAACGCGATTTGAATAGATTTTGTGAAATAAACTTGATCCCGGATATTGCTTCTGTTTAAGATCTTCCTTCATTTTCCTTTTGTAAACAAGCGCACCAAACCAAAACCCTATGCTACCCATTCGCAATTTAAACAGGGTATAGCAACAACTTGTGCACAATTTACAGCCTGGTTGACTGAAATCGTATAGCCCCAATGAACAGTTAGCTACAACATCAAACAGAGTGCCTCAATGTTGCATCCCCATCAACATAATGACAGCTGAAAGCTATTCTCTTGTTTATGACTAAATTGCGAACATGCCGGGCGTGGGCGGTTAGGGATTTGGGTGAGGTGAAGCGAAGTATGTCGGGGTTGGGCAGAGCTCTGCCTCTGCACAATTAGCCAGTCGTCGTCGCTGTACGCACTTCCACATCGTTTCATGCATAATTTGTAATTATTGCTTGGCAACGGACAACAACAAATTCCAGCGGACAATCTGTTTTTTAGTCAGCGTCCTGTGGTTCTAATCTAAGTATTTTCTGTAGTTTTCCAGGAACGAATTTAGATGTTATCAGAATATTATTAGGAATCTAATACAGAAGTAAAGTGGTTAAGCTTAATATTCGTTCAAATAACTTTTTTTCAATTTTTCAAGCGCTTTATGATAATGTCAAACAATTCAAAACCTTTGTATTTATCGGTTTGCGTTTATTATGCCCATGTCTGCATTGCAGGTCGATTTATTATTAAACATGTAAGTAAAGAAGTACTTACCCAAAAATACACATACGCATGCACGGTTATCGTATTATCATTTGTAAAAAGAGGAAGTTAGCTATAATATCCATCACTGAAAGCAAGAGAAATAAGAGGTTAGAATCAGAGTATGAAAAAGAAAGACATATAGAAGAGAGAAAAACTTAAAAATATAAAAATTATATAGCTAGAATTCGAACAGATATTAGATTGCCAACACAACTATATAGTTAACATAAAACTTATTATAACACTGAAACTTCAATCCATTAAGGCGATTACTAAAACTACATTTTTTTTGTTGTTATCCAGCGAAGCAAAAACCCTCATATACAGATGTCCCCACATACAGATATATATATATAAACATATGATAGATAAATGAACATTTTTCCGGACTTTTATTGTACCAATTACTTTCGCATGCGTATTATGATCGTGAACAGGGAGTAGGCAAACTTGAGAGTTGAGAAAAATGTGTCCACGTGAATGCGTAGCATGCCACCCGCCATTGCAGTGCTCTTTTTCAATGAGCGCTCCACAAACATCATCAGCTTCTTCTTAAAACTACGATGCTGCGCTGTCCAATTGCAGCTGAATGCCGAATAGTGCAGCTTTCCAAACCAAAGCTCATTGTCTTTGCCATAGTAGCAGATGGGAAAGATTTGCAGCGGAATAGCCAAGGCATAAAATAAGAAATATGTTATACTCATGGGCTCAGTAACAAAAAAGAGCAACCCCGCAATGCTAGTACATATATTCAGCCCAGTCACCGCGAACTGAATCAGCATGGGCAGCGACATGAAGGACTCAATGGTGCGAAACAGTCTGCAAACGAGCAAAGTCAATAAAATACTGCAGAGGATGCTTTCGAGAGGTTACCTACTCTAGCAAACGCTTGTGATCGGTTATGCATGCCTCCAGCTGATCCTCAGCATCCTTAGCATCATCCTCTCCCACCTGCTCGAAGCGCACGTAGAGCATCTTTATGTGAGCTGAGATCAGGCACAACATTACGGCGGGAAAGCAGTCGTTCGCATAGTTCTGCAGTATTTGAAAGCCAATTCCCATAATCTGATATACGTGGGCGATGTAGAAGTTGCGCGTCGAGTTGACGTAATCAAAGGGAAACCAGGCCGGATACATGAGAGCAGGCTCCGCCTTAAAAATGAATGAAAATTCGGCAAAAACACCAATTGGCAGATAGATGCCAATAACAACATAGAGAATGTTTCTCAGCTGTGTTCTCAACTGGCTGTAGATGGCTTTCTCTGGCGCACTCTTGATCCGCAAGTCCAGTAGCTTTAGCAGTTGTTCCATTTGCTCGACCTTTTCAAAGTTATAGGCGTATAAAGCGGTCTTTAGTGAACAGGCCAAGCAGGTCGCGAATGTCGTGAGGTTTAAGATATCATCCGAAAAGTTTTTGTTTCTAAACAGCATTATGCCCAAATGCAATGGATACCAAACGGTTACTATAAGGTTCGATAGGAGACTATAGACGATGTAAAGCTGTGTCCATTTCACCTTTTTGTAGGTAACTCCAATTATTTTCCAGACAGTCCAGTGACTCCTGAAGAAACTTAAGCTGTTGATGAGCATGACGTAGTCCTTCTTCGACGTTCTGCTGCTGATTGAGCCATTTGCTGGTGTCCCGATTTCATAATCATTCTATAATAGTCTTTGAAATTGCCTGTATAATTAAATACTCGTAATTATAGTCATGATGGTGCGTGACCACACTAATTACGATAATTAAAATAATAGTCGTTTAAACTATCATTTATTATTCAAATTCGGTAAAGCCGTAGACATATCTGGCAGTTGATTCCATGATTTACTGGACAATCACTTTTTTCTTACATGAAAATAAGACCGGATAAGGACAAGAATTGCATTTTTACTCAGATCTTTGAAAACTAACCTAAAGCAGTTCGGTTAAAAAACAAAAAAAAAACTTTTAGCGCGATTATAAAAGTTAACTTTGGGTTGTGCTTAACGTTGTGAGCTACTTTGCCAATAAGCTTTGTATTTATTTATTTAATATAAATATATCTTTGCTCTCAGTCATGTACTTTTCATAGCCCTCGGTTGTGGGTTCCCCTGGCTGCGGAGGCTTGTAGCAGTAGCAGGGATAAACCTTACGCAGCTCCTCTGGTTCCGGCGTAGAACCAGGCTGCGGTGTAGTGGTAAATCTTATGCGCTGCTTCCCTGTAAGGAAACCAATCGGCCATCAATTATCAGCAGATGAGGCGTTGTGCGCACTTACAGCTCGACTGGTAGTACTGTCTTTGCTGCCGAGTGAGTGGAGCACTTTCTTTTGTACCAGCGCTTGGTGGGGGACCTATGGTCGCCATCAGCAGAGCGAGCAGCAGCAGCAGCTGACTTGTCAACGAGTCGAACAACATTTTGCAGCAATACTGACAAATGAAATTTAACGCTTGTGCAAGTTTTGCTAATGGATTCCGTAATTATAACAGTTACAGTCACTTCACGGCCAAGGCGTGCCAAATTTCATTAACCGCGCCAGTTCCTATCACCGTGTCCCAGCAGCACTTTCAGCTTCAGCTCCAGTTACAGCTGCTCAGTTTGCCACAGGTGGGTGGCAGACAATATTAAATGAAAGTAATCAATTATAAAGAGCAGCAGACATGGCGAACGCCCACGCACATGCCTAGATACGCCATTTAATGCTCAATGACTTTGCACGCTCGATAAATTTCACACATACTACACACACACACACACACACACACACACACACACACTCGAATACACCGCCTGTAAGCATCAAAAAAGGCAACTGTCTGTCGCTGGCTGGCAGAGCGGAAGCACGGTAACTGCCTGCAATTAGTTGCAACATAAATTTGGCCGCCTAATGGACGGCTGCAGCAAAATTAATGTCGAAATGTTAAAAGTTCGTTTAGTTCATTTAGGTGCACTGCCCCATGCGCCCACATTATGTTGCAGCAGCCACAGCCAAAAACAAAGCTCATTTATTTCAGAAGCTTAAAAACGCAGCGTCGAACCTTAGCGAAAAAGGAAATATATAAACAACTAAGTTGAATGAAAAGTGCACTGAGAGCTGCCGAAGTTCAAATGCCCTTACAGCTGTGTTTTTTAAACATACGAAACCTGATCATCTAATTCTCTTGCTAACGACATTACAACTTTGTTAAACTAATGTCAAGTATAAATATAAAACTAAACTAATTTACATTTAAAATTTATTGTATTCTTTCTTATCATTTCTTGTATTTGATTTGAAACAAGAAATAATTATAATTATTTTATTATAAATTATATTTCGTTTAGAAACCTTTAATTTCAACGATACACTCATAGGCAAAATCAGACTTGACAATCAAAAGTAAAGAATCTTTAAATAAAATTATTATTTAACTTAAGTTTTAAAGAAAAGATAGCTTATAATTTTGAACATTTCTTATAGGAGCCCAAAACTAGTTTTTAGTCTGGGTATAATAAATTTTATATTTGTAATTCGTCTGATACTGTCAGCTCTATTAAATTTTCAAATAAAATATATAAACTTCCAAGTAACCCAATCAGTTAGGCAAGCGAACAATGAGGGATCGAGAGTGCTATTCAACAAAAAAAAAATAGTTTATAACTAAATAAAATAATATAAAATAAAATAAAATAATACAATAATTGGGATGTATAGAAAAGCACTCTATATGGCCATAGTTTCACAAGCCAATCAAGAATATATGCTATGTGAATAACTAATTTAATAGAATACGCCCATTAGAGTACGTTGAATTTTTCTAGACTAATTCATAACACCCCATGTATATAGGGTTATAAAAAGGTTGGTGCTCGCCACCAGTGCAGGCTTAAGTTGAACTTGCCAACTGGGTCGTGTTAATAATGGTATGGCTATCAGTATTCCATTAATTGTGAGACTAGCCGCAAAATTAATTTGTTTACGTCCTGGAAGCAACTGACTGTAACGGGCCAACGTGGCCAACTTGAAGTCGGGACGGCGGCGAGCAAAGTTTGCTAATTGATTTAATTTATGTATTATGCTGTGCTATATACCATGATAAATGCAGGCGGACAACAATGGGCCATTGTTGGCAAGCAACATTAACTTAATAATATTAAAAATTATTTGGCACTTCGAAGGGCCAGCAAAATGCGCATTAGTTAGGAGCAAGAAAAACAAACAGAGACCAGAACCCCAACCAGACCGTCTCAAGCGACCGACCACCTCAAACTCAACCTCAAACTGGAACTGGAACTCAAATAAGTATAAAGCACAAATCACATTAAGCGCCCGCTGTGAGCGCAGAGAAAGGACATGCCGCCAGTGAGCTTGGGCGATGTCCCGGGCGCGTGGTCTGCTCAGGCATTCTTGCTGGGGCAATAATTTTATTGGATTTCATTTAAGTTTCGCTTAGCGTGCGCTGTTTGCAACAAATTTACAATATTACGCCAGGGAAGCGGAACAGGGTTATGGTTGCAGGGCTGGTATTCAAATAAACCGAGCGTTGTATTTATTTGACATTTGCAGTAATATGTAGAACACACATTCAGACATTGTAAATATATATTTATATGTTATGTATATATGCAAAGACTGCCAAAGCATAATGAGGCAAACGGAACCGGATGTATCAAATATTGCAATAAGCACGCCTTTTGAGTGTGTACAACGTGCATCGACTGTTGGCCAGGGGCTTGTGGATGATCGACAGTGGCTTGTTAGCCGGCGAGCTGTCGAGCTGCAACGTCTGAATATACATGATTATGACTTGGCGATGCCAATGCCGGCGCCCATACCTATATGCAAGTACTTAACTGCTACATGAGTCTGCTCGTTCTCATGCTAGATTTATGCCAGTCATATGTGTGTGTGTGTGTGGGTGGGTGTGTTGTTTTCCCTGTTTGCCCAACTCTGAAGTGAAGATTCGCTCCAATCTCAAAGGATGTCGTTTACATTCCTAGTGCAACTCATATTGCATGTCAACGCACTCATGTAACCATTCCAACTAAAGTCCACCTGCCGGTTATGCTTAGGGTGCCAACTTTGCTTCAAACTGTAACAACTTGCCATTTGACAATGTATACAATGGCCACAATGTCAATGTCTGTCAGCAGCCAATTACACGCAACATTGCAGCGACGACAGCAACGATAACAACAAAGACAGCTCGTGTCCTTGCCAGCGCATTGGCCTTTTGATCCAGCCACAACTGCCAAGTGCAGCTATTTCCAATTGATGAAGACAAAAAACAATAAGAAGGCCAAAAGGCCAACAATCAACAACAGCAAAAGACTTTCTCCATTCAGTCGGGTTTTCTATTTTTTGTGTAGTGAACTCAAGTAATAATTGCAAATTGCTTTGCTATTCAATGCACACATGAAAAACGAAAATTAATATTTTCTATTCAAGATTGTTCTGTTCTGTGTTAATTGAACAAATAGGAGTAATGCAGTTGACAGTGCTCGACTAGCAGTTACCCTCAGCGTCTTCTTAGCTTCAGATAAAAATCAACCAAGAACACGTTGGACTATACTCGATGTATAGACTTTCTTCACGGTGGGGGAACAGCAGGAAAAGCAAAAAGGAAAATGGCCAAAAAACAATTTTAATACTAATTTATTCCGCAGGTCAGCTAAGCATCCATCCCCCTGCCTGCTGACAAGCAGTTCCCGAACATTATTTTCCTCCCACTTCCATCCATTTTATGTACACCTGTTATACAAATTGTCGGACCTACAGTTTATTAGGCTATTTAAAATGTAGACGAACTCAACGTAGCACAACTACTAAATTTGGCATTTGCATAGCCTCGATTCTGCCTGTGCACAATTTTGGGATCAATTTTGGGCATGTGACCGCATATTTAGATGGCTTACCAACAATGTCATCGAGGTGAAAACTGCAAAAGTGAAGCTGATTATGTGCATTAGTTGAGGCCGCACACTCGCCTGCCTGACTGTCGTGTGAAGTAGTTTGCCGCACATTGGCAAATAGGTGCGTGCATGGCGTATACGTAATGCGGCAACAAATCCAACCAGGCGAGTTGTTTACAAACTGCGTGCGTGTGTTGAGGAGTGAAAGGGTCTGGCATTTGCCACATACACACACTCATGTGTTGTTGTGCTCATAGCCAAAATACGCACTAGCACCAGCAAAGCAAACTTAATGCACTCGACAACAACGCACACACACACACACACACACACAAACAACAATAGAGGGAGCAAGTGTGTGTGTGTGTGTGATTGTGTGTGGCAGCGTATGCGTATTAGCTGTCACAATTTTTAAATGACGCGCACGTGCTGTGCGTGTGTGTCATGTTTTTCTGTTTAAGCTGCAAGAATGCATTTCAGCTGTGCACGTATTCCGTGAGCTGTGCACGTGCTTGGCTGGGCTTAAGTGTTTGTTACACACACACACACACACAGTTCAAGCTTAGTAGCTACCGAGTGTAATCATTTACTGCATCCTGTTCTTGTTTGCTATTGTCTAGTCAAATATTTACATGAAATTCACTTCAAACACTGACAACAATATAAATATACCCTTTTAAAGCGCAAATTAAGTGTATTTCAAGTTTCTATGGCCTGTTGCCAGCTGCTACGCGTAAAGACAACGTTTAATTAGACAATTTTCGAATACGACTACGCTGAGCAAAGCCAGCTACAAGCGCAAGCTGGAAAAACCAATTATGCTAATCATCTGAACGCTGTGGCACAAGTGACCCCATGGCCCAGTAGAAGGCCAAGAACGTAAAAAGCTTAATAAAAGCCATGCCATCCGCATTGTTTTTTCTTCTGCAACAAAATTGAAAATCAACAGGCATTTAAATAAAAAGAGAATTGGAAGCGGAAGCGCAAAATCTGACGACAGCCATTAATTGACAGCTCATTTGTAGGCATTGGGCAACACTTAATCAAAGGCACATCAAGTATACGCCACCAGGCACGGCACACTGCCACATCAGAATGTGACTGCTGCTATTAAAAATGGCCAATGTATCCTCTTCACGCAGACAGTGCCAACGGCGGCAAACTAATAAATCAATATAAGCCGCACAAAACTCATTGGGGCACATACCCGGTCCGCTCGATAAGCTTATTTTCCGATATCCGTTTACAAATTATCTTCAAAACTGTCAACAACAAAAGCAGCAACAACAGCAACATCAGCAGCGCTGACAAAACGAAACCACAGCAAATAAAAGGCAACCAAATAAGAATGGCAATGAGAAAATGATCCTGGTCGTGCGACACACAAAGGCGTTCGGGGATCAACCATAGGAGAATTAACATAATCATTATTATAATGTAATATGGGCATTGTGTAGTTCTGCTACATCGTGCGCCCCGATGCGCCCAGATATCCCTTTTTGCAATCAATAAGTTGTCAGAAACAATCAAATAAATACAAACTGATATGTCAATATTAACTGACAGCCGCATGAAACTCCGGACCCGATACGGCATGGGATCCGGGACCCGGGACCCGGGACCCGCACATTAGGCCTAACTATGTGTGCCACAGAGTGTGCTAAAAAAAAGAAAAGGTCTCCCAACTGATGCGTCGTTCAGACGGGCAGTCGACACGAGACACATTGGGCCTACAAACATTTTTAAATTGCAATCAAAAATTATATATAATTATATATATAATTATATATATACAAATAAATTGTCCACTTGTTCTGTTTTGAATTGAAAAGCAATTGACAAGGAAATATACAAAATAATTGACATACAAATACAGGCTGGTTAAACTGTTCCAAGCAATATAAAAGGCCCAAAAAACACATTAAAGATAACACATAAACCCGTTAAAATTAATTATTTATCTTGATGATATGCTAGCATAAAGCAATCAATCAATAAATATAAATAACCACAATTAAGCATCAATTTGTCCTACAAAAATTTAAAAGATACAAAAAAAATGTGTGCATATAAAATAAAATTAAACGACCCGCATATATTAAAATACTTTTTAAACGATTTTCGTTTGGAAAGAATATTATGGGAAAATAAGCATCATACAATTCTTTCAATTACAAAAAAAAAAGATTCATTAAAAATTTGGTTTAAAATATAAGAAAAATTAAAAAAAATAAATAATTATATAATAAAATAAATATATAATCAACAAAACTATGTTAGAAAAAAAAAGTAGATTCCAAAAGTAGATAGATGCGGCAAAGACTTCTAAAACATTAAGTTTTTCTCGTAGTTTTATACAAAATCTCTTTAATAAAAAATTAACTTTAATAATATATTATTTCGAGCCACTGTGCAAATGTAAGCCTTGGATTATGCGTAAAATTCTCGATGTGTTCCGGCTGGCCTGGCCGGGCTGCTTGGGAATGCGTGTAATTGGGTGTTGCCGGATGCCCATGCCTATTCGTACACATATAGAATTTCTAGACTGTTGTGCGAGTCGTCTGGGTTGGCTTTAACGGCTGTCGGGTGGCGGACTTAGTGCACCCTTTTCATGGCTTTATGTCTTTGTGAAACGACAGGGCAGCAGGCAGCGACAGCGGTAGGACAAGAAAATAATTTTCTACTATTTTTTTGCGTTCATTTTCATTGAGAAACCGGAACCATAACACGCTTGTTAGTTTCCGCCTGGCCTTTATCCTTTATCCTTTCTATTTCCGACTCACACACAGACACACACGCACATATGCGCAATCAAAGGCGGAATTTATTGTTTGTTATCGCTCGCAGTACAAAACAAAAAAATAAAAAAAAAAAGAAGCCAACACACACAACAGAATGCGATTCTGTGGCTGGGCACAGAATGCCCTTTAGTCTGGCATGGACTGGCCCGAACCTTCCCCTCACACACACTTATTTACTTACGAACACATAAATATGAGCCGCTGGCTGCACGTTTTATTGAATTGATTTTATAAATGACGCCATTTGGCTTAAGTGCCACCCAGTTGATTGTTAAATTGATAAATTAATAACGAACATTTTTAATGCCCTCCACTGATCAATGCGACACTTCCTCATTCTGTCTGCTCGTTGTTGCCTACTTTCAGGGGCACATCTGGCATTGATATTGACTTGCGACGCGTGGACATCGACCAATGCCCGCAGCGGCATACACCCGGCACGAAACGGCCGCTGAACATTTTTGCCGGCACCGACAAGTGTAAACAGCGCACCACAATGGTGGGTAGTTAAAATACGTTAGAGCAGCAATCAGAAGTCAATTGGTTTCACATTCATTTTCATTTGCATTTCCATTTTCAATTTCACACAGTGCGAGCCGATTATGGGTCTGGGCTTTCGGCGGGGCTCCTACAAATGCCTGTGCCGCAAGGGCTTTTACTTTCCCGACGTCGCCTCGCTGCACAAGTTCTTTAATGGCAGCCTGCTTGAGGAGGAGTACGAGAAACTGATGCTGGTAGGTTGAAACATATTACGGTATAAATTACCATCAACACATCGTCTGTGTAATGGTAACGGAAGCAGCACAGAATAACACAATTCGCTGAGTCAGGTGTGCTTGCAGTAATTGGCAAAGCTTAACCGAAACTCTCATTTAAAATGTAACCCCCATATCTCCGGCTGATTTCCGCAGGGCAAGAACTCAACGTATAATAGCAACAACGAATACGAATGCCAGCCCTGTGCCGAGGGCTGTGACTCCTGTGAAGATGCCTCGCCCTGCATTGCGGCCCTCAATTGGCCCATGCGCACCAGCATCCTGGCGCTGGCGTGCATCGTCATCGGCCTGCTGCCACCGGCCGCCTGGTTCACATTTCGCTATCAACAAGTCAAGGTAAGTGGTCAGCACATGTTTCACAATTCTCAGCAATGGCCAAATAGAATTATTCTGTTAGCTCTACATTAAGTAAGTTGGTGTTCCTCCCTCCGGTTGTTTGAAATTGCCAGCGAACTTTTTATAAGCCAGCGCTCGAACTGTGGAGGGGCTTAAGCAAAATTGACTTTAGCGCCGCTGTCAACTGGCTGTGCTGTCAGCTGCTGGACGAGGCCAACCTAAGCTGCTGTCATTGGAATGCTAAGCTGCTTAGCATTGTTAGTTTCAAGTTAATTTTGTACGTGCTGTGTGCGTCTGTGTTTTTTCCGTATCCGTGTGCTCGTTGTGGACCAACAATAACGGAAAAGGATATGGTTCCGCATAAACGGAAGTGCAAACATTCGTACACACACAGAGCTGGAGAAAGAGACAGAGGGAGTGAGATGGAAGGAGAGTTATCCAGCGACTTCAGACTGCCGAATGCGGCCGGTCGGATGCCACTTGAGCGCTCATTAGGTTCGTCCATGGAGCAGAGACTGTCTCTGGCGTATAGTTTTAAACCGTTTTGAACTTTATAACGGGCGCAATGTGGGAGGGAAAGTCGTAGTACTACGGCAATGTGTACATTCTATATGCAAGCAGAGTGAATTATTAAATTTCCTTTGCCCCTGTTGCTTCTGTCTGTGCCTCAGTGGTGCGAATCAGCGCAGTCAGCCAACTAAACTGTTTTTATTTCAAATGCGATTCTGTCGCATTAATGTCGGCGTCTCTCGAGGTCGATGTCGCTAGTAGATTCTACATTGCCCCGTCGGCAGTGCCAGTGCAAAACTAATTAAATGCCGCTAAGTCCTACTCAGTCTGACAAGCAGCCAAGTGTGACTGCGAGTGGTAGTAAATAGCTCGCGTCTGGATAGCTCTACGCTCTCCGCCTTTTGGGTGACCTCTTTGTAGCTGATGCTTTGCGCAATTGTGCAGATGAGACGATTTCAATTTTGAATTTAAGCTAAGCCACGCCACGTGCTTAACTCTTATTCCGCTCAGCACTCAGCTGATATACTATAGCTGCCTTCAAACTAGTCTTAAGCCATTCAACAACTTTTTGTATTTAACAATTGCAGGTTGTGCGCGCCGCTAGTCCAGCTCTTTTACGGGTCATCGCACTGGGCGCCTTCTTTATCTACTGCACGGTAAGTCAATACGAATGTTCTTTAGTCATAGACTTAAGCTAGACCTAAAATACTCAACACTGTTTACAGCTTGGTAAACTTCATTGCATACTTAAAACAAAGAGATTTCGTAAAAGTTTTTGATTGTCAATTTGAATAATATGCGAAAGGGGTAGAGCACTTGAAATTGATAGCGGCGCATACATTTCGTTTTCACACTGTGCCCAGAAAGGGAATTTGGGTATTTTGGTTTGGCAGTGTCTAAGCACATGAAAACGTTTAATTCATTTTAGATACTTGAATCAGATTTCAAGTAAGCTATTTGTAGCAAAAGTACAAATTTGAATCTAAACTTTTGAAAAACATCCATCAAATAAAAAATATATTTAAAATAAATAAATGCATCCCATTTAGAAAAAATATCCCATAAAATAAACATTTCGAAAAAGAATTTCGAAAATTTTAAATCATATTAATAAATTTCCGTATATATATATTTTCTAGAAATAGTTTCGAATATAAGGAAAAAAGTTTAATTTTAATTAACGGCAAGTTGTCAAAATTGTAAAAAAACTGTTTTTGAGTGAATTAAGCCTCCGAATTCGTGTTAAACAAATAGTTTAACACTTTAGCCCAGTCAAACCGTGAAGCCTTATATGCCTTGCTGCCCAAAATCTGACAAGTGGCTCTTTAATAGTCGGTTAAAATTACTTTCCAAAACCTTATTGACTCAACATCAGCAGATTAAATTATTTGGATACACTTAAATCAAGTGGGTAGCAATTGAATGACAAAAGGAGAAACTCCACCAGCAATGGACTCGAGAAGTCAAGCATAATATTTTGTATTTATTATATTTTTGAATTTTATATACTCGCCCACAGGTAAATAAGTTTATTTAGGATGAACTCGGTTTATTGTAGGCAAAACTGTCATATTCATCATAGAATACAATTTGCATAACTAGTAGCTAGATAAAGCTATGCATGTTGAGCTAAGAAAAACTGACTCAGCACGTAACAATGACCAGGACCCAATTCAAATAGATTACTTTACAATTTAATTTGATTGATTTATGGCTCGTGACTCAAAAAATAATGCCACACTGGCCAAATAAAGAGCTTTAAACGAGAGTTCATCGTTATCCACACACACACACACACACATTTATATATATATATATATGTATATATGTGTGTGTATACATGCCAACAGCAGACAATGCGAGGCAAAAGATATATTGTGCTATTTATCTGAACCGAGGTGCTTGCCACTTGGCAACACAATAAGTGAAGCCCCAACCGAAGATACAAGTGCGGAGGGAAGGAATTTTGTTGCTTTATGATTTTTTAAATTGCGCTTAGTGGCAGAAAGCAACGATCTCTATCTTCTGTTGTTGTTGTTCTTGACTGGGCTCTCGATTTATTAATATTTCAGAATAAACGGAAATACATTACATTTTACGCACAGCTAGCAACAATACAAAAAAAATGTTCATGCAAAATGTTGAATGTTGTTTTGTTGTGCTCGAATAGCTCAAAATTTACAGTTGAATGGACAAAATGTTGTCGTACCTATTTCTTTTGCTATTTCCTATTCGTATTTATGCGTCTGGTTCCAGTTCCTGTCACAGGACGTTGGCAACAGCCAAAAGAAATACATTTTTATTTTGCAATTCTAAATGGCCGAACGGTCTGACAACAATCAGGCATTCGAGTGGTCTAAGTTATTTGCATTTCCTTTTATTTTCTTTTTTATCCCCAACACAGAACATTGTAATGTACCCGAATCCGAATCTCTACACATGCACCGCACGCATCTGGCTGCGCGAGATTGGCTTCTCCCTAACCTACGGTGCACTGATGCTAAAAACCTGGCGGTAAGTTGGCAACGCATTCATTTTTATACACTAAGAGAAATGTGTAACGTGTAGAAGGAGACGTCTCCAAGAAAACAAAATATATATATTCTACTTCAGTATGAAGAACTAAGTTGCTTTTAAAAATATCTTGACTTAGCTCAGCAATTATGTCAGATCGAACTACTTTATACAACTTTACAATAAAAGTCGGTATGAACAGAGCTTTCCAATAGAGGACACTGCTAAGCCGCATGTCTGCAAGAGTATTTAGACTTTGGCTTGCCGTAGTAGCCCATTTCTGGCCGTTTTAACTTATCCATAACCAAATATTCTGCAGCATCTCGGTGATATTCCGCGTGCGCTCCGCGAAGGCTGTCAAAATAACAGATGCGGCGCTGCTCAAGCGCCTGGGCATAATCTGCGGTGCCATTGGGACATGTTTGCTGGTCCGGACTTTAGTATCGCCACCGGACGTTGTCGTCGGACGCACTGCGGATGACCTCAAAGCGTTTCTATGCAAAACCGATTGGTGGGACTATACATTTACATCGAGTAAGTACGGAGGGAGAGAGAGATTCAAAAATAATTTGATATGCTTGGCACACATGATAAAGTACACTTGATTGAGCCTGAAGCCACTTAAAATCATACCCATCACACACACACACACACAAAGCGATAGCTGTAAAAAATAACAGCAGGCAGTATTACGTATACGCACCGTGTGCCATGGCAAAAGAAATACATAAGGCAAAGTGCAAAAATATTGAAATTCCAACGTAGCCAGGACAACGGGCAAAGGGCGGCTGACAACATGTGTGTGCTTCGGGCTTAAATTAAAATCCAGTCACGAGGCCACAGACCGTTGTCCCAGCAGCCAGTGCAGCAGCTAAATGCGACTTTTTGTGCGACCGTGGCTCCCGTTGTGATGCGTCAAAAGGCAGCTCCCACGGACTGTATAACGCTTATTCGCAAATAGCAAGTCAGCCATATACAGTGCAATAGTTGCCATTCACCAAATGCCCATTTGCTGTTCATTGTGAGCGCCATTTTGGAGGTCACATGAACTGTATTATAAAGGCATTTTCAGAGAAAGATATGCTTTATAGATAGATTTACAATTACAACAGTTGGCTAGCTGAATAAGATTAAAGTTTAGTTTACAAGAGAATAAAATAAATAATAATGCGATTGCACTCACTGAGTAACTGACTAACGCAGTGAATAACAAACTGACTGACTGACTGATGACTGATTAACTGAGTGATTGACTGACTGACCGGCTGACAAGATGATTGGCTGAAGTCAGATGACATAATCTGTGGGATTTGCCAATACGATGTCAAAGGGCTGTAAAGTGCATGTGCCTCAGCGTCGCACAAACAAGCGCAAGAACTTAATATTTCTTAATTAAAGAAATACAGCAATATTTAATTAAACAAATCTAAGTAAATTATAAATCGTGAATAAAATGAATGATGAATTTTATAAGGTTTCCAACAAAAAGAAAAGCCCTCAGCGATTTAAAAACTAAAAATGACGAACTTTGAGTGCGAACATCTTTAGCACTCAAGCTTAAGTTTCTAATTGAAATTAAAAAAAAAAAGAAAAACTAGGAAAAATTAATACTAGAGAGTTTAATTTTTTTTTTTATTTGTTACTGTGACTTATAAATCATAGTCAGAGCTATGCAGTTTCCCGCACAACTTGTGCTGGTCGCTGGTTGTTCGCCCGGCGTATAGGACTGACTGATAGTGCATCGGTATGAAAAGAAAAAGCCGAGTAGCAAAGGGTGGCAGCCACAAAAGCATTGCTGAAGCAAGTGGCAGCTAATTAAAAAACTTCGATACTCTGTAAAGGTATCTATGCGCTTTGGTGCATTGATGACAGGCTGCACTATGACAACGGCAGAAATGGGAGCTTTAACTTTATTTTAATAAAGTGCGCATTCCATGGGACAATACGAAACGCGCATTAAAAAAATCAAGGACAAACGGCTGCGTGTCGAGTGCATTAATTTTGCTACTTTGCGCTGAAAAGTATGCTGCAAATTCGTGTTCAGGGCAACAAAAATTGAAAATGAATCGAAACATTGTGTGTTGGTTAAACGTGCGTTGAATGACTTTTTGAACATTTTGTAAAGAATACTGAAGACCACCATGTAATTATAATACATAATATAATCATAAGGCTCGTAGGCATTGCCTTCTAATTAAGCAGCTGGCGCACACGTTGAGTGCTGAAGTTTTTAATTAAAACTCCAAGCCAAAGCTAAAAGCCAGACAAATGCACAAAGCAATCAACTAACCAGCAAAAATCTGTGCCTTGTGCCCGGTTCTCTTTTCTCCGTACCGTCAAAAACAGTGGAAGTATTATTCTTGGCCTGGGGCGTCCGACTCTGTATCATGGTGCGGAAGGCTCCCTCGGAATTCAACGAGAGCCGTTTCATATCAATGGCCATATACAACGAGTTTCTGCTCACCTGCTTCCTCAACGTGTCCATGTAAGTACCAAGTACCAAGTACTAAGTTTTCAATTGTCAGCAAAAGCAAAACTGAATATTCTGGAGTTGCATTCGCTATCGATTTAAATTTCGATTGCGTTTTTCGTATTATTGCTGAGCTTTCTTTGATTTAACATTTACCTTACTCTTTGTTTATCCTTGACAGGCTCTTCCTGCAGTCGCCGGCCAATCCGGATCTGCTCTATATCATATTCTTCTGCCACACACAGCTGACGGTGACCCTGCTGCTGGCTCTCATTTTTGGCAGCAAGGTACGTAGTACCGCAAACACTTGAGAGATTATTTGGATTGTAGCTGTTGTCCATTTTCTTTTTCGTTTTTCGTTTTTTTTTTTTTTTTTTTGCTTTTCTCACACACAGGTTTACATTGTGCTACGCAGCGGGAAGTCGCATCAGGAAAACATTGGCATGGGAGCCAAGGCATCGGGTGCCAAATTCAATTTTCGACCACAAGTGCGCACCTTCGCCCATCCCAGTTCGGTGACAACATCAACGGCGCCTGCAGCTGGCACCACCTCGGCAGGTAACTAATTGCATCATTATGGCCAGCAGAAGCCGACTGCATATCGATGCTTATGACTAACGAGACGTGTCCTGACAGCCAGAAAATTGCTGCTTGTCCACTTTGACAAATGTTCCATGTTGTCCGTGTGGCGCCACAATTGCCCTACCAAATTTATGCACGGCAACACGCAGTTCAAGCATGCCGATTAAGTCAACTCATCTGTGGCGTTTGGAATTTTATTTATGGCACTCTATTTGGCGAATTAAAAAATAAACAGATTGCGAGTGGCGTCAGCTTATCGCTGGCATCGTTGCCCAGCTTTAAATGCTTGCGTAGTTCACTGGGCTGAGCACAAAGTTTAGGGATCGAAGCCCTATGAAACAAAACATAAAAATATATCTATATATATATACATTATATATGGCATATGAATATGCTCGAATATTCGCAGTTATCTTATGTCAACTTCAACGTTGATTTATGTGCGCACAAAATGTCGCACATGCTTGATGCGGTTAACCTTAACAACTACCGTGTGTGTGTGTGTGTCAGCGTGTGTGTGTGTCTGTGTGTGAGTGTGTGCGTGCCTTTGTGTGTGGCAGGAATCAACAGCAGCCAAGCGAAAACTTCCCAGAAGATCTCAAAGATACATTTATTTATTTATGTAGAGCGTTGGCAAAAGAGCCACGAAATTTGTTAAGGGTCTTTTCCCAGAAGTCTCTCAATGCCGCCTGATGATGTTCTTTTGATAGGATGTCGCCAAATAGCGAATCACTGATTTAATGGCGAGGTAGTTCAAATTAGACGGCGGCAAAAGTTTTTCAGTTCCGCATCGAATGGGGGCGGCGAAAAAGCTGGGCGTGGCCACCCAAACTGATTAAGATCCGGTAAAAAGTTTATTATTGGGCGTAATTCAGACGAGTTACAAGCGGTTTGTGTCTAGTGCCGCAATTTAATTTGCCGGCGATGTTTATTACCAACAGCGAGAGAGAGAGAGAGAGAGAGAGAGAGAGAGAGAGAGAGAGAGAGAGAGAGAGAGAGAGAGAGAGAGAGAGAGAGAGAGAGAGAGAGAGTGGGGGAGATAGAGAGAGAAAGTGCCGCTTTATGTTTTAATGCTTTATGAGCGACCTTTTCTCATTGGCGCCTCTTTTTATATATTTAATTTTTTATTGCTCGTATTTCTATTTTGGTAGCGTCTGCTGCCACCGCAAGACGTTAGTTAAATTGTGCGTTAAATTTCAAAATATTTTTGCGCTAGAGACGCGCTTTCATTGCGTGCGCGTTTTTAAGCGGCCTGCCGTCAATTTGCATATTTAAATTAAACAATAACAAAGATGCCAAATATACCCGACTCACACACACACACACGCACACGCAGACAATTTGTATTTGTGTGTTGAATTTTAAATATTTTTTGTGCAAATATGTAGCATACTTGCATGGGATAGGGGCTGGGGAACATAATAAATTCAATTCTGGCCACTGCCGCTGCTCTCGCTTAATTTCACAGCCATAAATCTAAATCCAGCCACCAAAAAGTTGCCACTTTCCTTTATTTTCTCTTTTTTATTTATTTTTTTTTTTTTTTGTATTCGAAAGTCGCGTCAAGTGGCGCTGAGTGGACTCACTTAAATCACACTGACAGGCTTTCAGTTGAATTGAACGGCCATTTATCATCATCCAAACAGCACACACATACACACACACACACACACCACAAAACACACACTCACACACTGTAGGCTGTCTTGAGTGAAAGAAAGAACCCAGAACCCAGAGCCCACAACTCATAGCCGCAACAGCGTCCATTTTCATTTCCATGTTGCCTGTTTTGTTGGCTGCCACAGCTACAGGAATACGCATTTAAATTGTCCTCGCGGGAGCGCGGGGCGTTGCGGTGCAGAACGAGCAGGCATTACTTATGCAACTTCTGACACGAACGCAACTTTTTTAGTGCAAAAGTTGTGAGGGGGGTATCTGGGCCGGGCCGAACCGGACTGGGCTAGCAACTTTTTCAGTTGAAAGTTGAGGCTGCGTGTAAACGACGCTTTTTGTGTGACTGCCGCACTTATTCAACAATTGCAATTGTTTGGGGCTGAGAAACCGTACGATTTCATTAAGCCATCGCTTCCATTTGCAGAAACCAAGCTGTCCGACCAGGAGGCCCTGGAGGAGATTCGACAGCTGAGCATGCAGCTGCAGCGCATACAGGAAATGGCGCCGCCCAAGGGCGTGGCTGTGATGACCATATCGAGCCTGCTGGATGGTCTCAAGACGCCAGGTGGCATGATGATAGTCGCTGCCGCCGCCACGCATGCGACCAGCGGCAGTGCGGCAACTGCCACGCGGCAAAGTGCGCTGCCGCTGCTTGCACTCAACGCCGAGATGCAAAAGTACAGCCAGCAGCTGCAGCAGAACAACAATGCCAATGGCAGAGCTGCAGCCGCTGCGGCCGCTGCGCGTGGCAGCATACCCACCATGGTGCTGGAGACGCCGCCCTCGACGGCAACACCGACACCCACAGCTGCCTACGAGGAGCGCGCCACCAATACGGAGCTGAGCGGCGATGATTTTCGTGAACAGCTGCTGCTGCGCCGCAGCGCCGACGGGCACATCATCTGCAGCCGCTGCCTGGACGCGTCCAGGGAGCACTACTATTGCTGTCCGCCGCGCAGCGCCTGCGAGCAGCTGGGCTCCCCGCAGCAAGAGGGCAGCTTGAGCTTCGCCAATATCAAGCTGGACTGCATGTGCTCCCAGTCGGATGATCTGGACCAGACGCAGAGGTCACAGCGACGACCCGCTGCCACGCGCACAGCAGCCACCAATACGCCGCCCACCAGCTGTAAGCGTGGCGCCCGCAATCTACTCGAAGCCGAGGTTAGCATTTCGTATCAAATTTGTGATAACTGTAGAAGTAAGTATAGGCTTAACGATAAGCCGGCCCCGGCCGGCAGAAGACGCAGCGGCAGCTGTACACAGGCCGATCCACAGGCGCCGCCCACACAAACGAGAAGCAGCGAGCTGCTGGATCGTACCGAGACGGTTGTCAGTTGTGTAGCTGTGGCCAAAGTGGCACGCTCCACAGATGACATAGCCCTGTATACGAGCAACATCTTGGCATTGGCAGCGGGTGGGGCCGGTGGAGACAGCGACAGTCAGCCGATGGCACAGCCATCGGCAGAGGCGACCATGTCGCTGGGCAACGTGTCCAACGCATCAAACAATTCCACTAGCCAAACGGACAAGACGAGCGGCAGCGGTACGAGTCGACCCAAGCGACCCGACAAGCTGATGCTCGACCTGAACGATCGGTCCAAATACACCAAGGAGGTTTCTGTATAGGGCGAGGCGTGTTCTTTGATCGCAAATCGGTAAATGATTATGTTAATGGAAATTAAATAACAAAAGACTTTATGAAATTTAATTGTATTAATATAGCAACTAACTTGACATACATACATATATTATGCGCTTAAAACATAACAATAATAATAATAACTTGAGCGAGTGGGCTAAAACGTCTGATTACAGTGAAGCCAAAAAAAAAACGGTCAGCGATTAGCATTGCAAGCAGGCGCAAAGTATTTGCAACTATAATGAGCCCCATGTTGTGAATATTTTGCTCTTGCCAAACACACATAATTACACACACAGACACACACACACAAACACGTGCACATAAATTTGTGCATAGGTAAACAAGCAGCGCATCGCCATTTTGTTGTAAGTCATGCGTTTTGGCAGAGCGAGAGAGGGAGAGGTAAATAGAGGCCGCCATAAATTGAATTTGAATTTAAATTGCATACGCAATAATTAAGCTAATTTTGCAACGCCCAGAAACTTAAAGAGCAACAACCAAAATCAGCCAAAGCAAACATGTTATTCATTAATAATAATATTCATATTAATTATATAATTAATTAGGACATGTTTTTGGCATTCTAATCGAGCAGAATATATGTATGTATTAAATATTATAATAATTACTTTTCGTACTTCTAGTTGTAAACTGTAAAATAAACATATCTCAGCCAAAAAAAAAATAAAAAATAAATAAAAATTTAAAGTTAAATAAATACAATGCTCACAATTCAGAGCTTAGTTTAATTATAGCTAACAATTAAAAATTACTAACAATTGCCCCGCTAAACAAAAATAAACAAATAAAAGCATAAATACTATAAATAAATTGTAACTAAAAATACAGCTAAATTTTGATTTAGCATTGTTCACAAATATTTAGTTAAGTTTTGCAGTTATAAATTAAAAAAAAAAAAAAAAACATTTTCAAATACATTCAATGTACGAGAAAAATGCAAATGTTATTTAACTATATAAAAATGAATAAAGGTTCAATATAAATGTATCTGTAAATGGGAACAAACTGTGCGAATGCGAATTCAACTACTGCCGCTGACATTAATCGAAGCCCAAATGCAATATTACGCATACGCCCGGTGGCCAGTTTGGAAAATTGCTTTCATCGCTCATCGCTCGCTTTTCGGGTAGGTATGTGTACACCTCTATTGGCTAACAGCAACATTAGCTTGTGCAAAGAAAAATGAGACAAAAAATAACACACATACTCGACGACTCTTTCTGTTTATGGGCACGTTATGGTCTTTATCTTTATGGACATGCCTATGTGCATGTGCGTGCGTGTTTGTTTGTGTTTGTGTGACCCTTTTTGCCATTTATGGGCTCGTTTTATGAATGCTTTTTCAACACACAAACAAACACACAGACACACATAGACTATATGAAGCGTTTTAAAGGAGACGTTAATTTAAATGTTTTTACAGCATTTGCCTGTCGATCTTTTCAGTGCCGCCTCATCTGATGTTTGTTGTTTGCCTTCCAAATTAAAATTCCCAGCCGGCTGACAGTTTCTGTTAAAGACCCTCAAACAAACACACACACACACACACACGCTCACACCCGCATGCGTGAACCATTATACGACACGGCCCAAGTGTTATCAAGTTTATAAAGGACTCTTGCTGTGAAAGTGCGTGTATTGAACTTTAAGCATCTTACGGAAGCGGCAACATTTTAACTTAAATTAATTTAAAGCTGTCTCTTGGTGTACTGCTTGAAAAGGCAACTCTTACGTCACGCATTTAAAATTTTTATTATTTTTGCTTATTTAATGCCCTTGCGGAAATCTTAGGGCTTAAAATGCATAATAAATATCCAGTTTCGTACAAAACATCATAAAATAAGTAAAGCAAATGATGAAATAGCCAAGAGAATTTTTAAGTTTTAGAACTAAACATATCCTAAGTCCTTAAAAGAAACAATATAAAACGAAATTTGAATTTCAGGCTTGGATATAGAAGGTATTCTTATCGCCTCTCGATGAGCTCTTTTTATTCACTTGGTACGTGACGATTTAAATGAAACTTTCAGGTTTTCTCAGCAAGAAAGTTATACCATAAAAATTTACTGAAAAGTACCTCAACCAATTTCAAAGTCTCTGTATCATTTAAATGGTTAAAGCGCGAACAATAAACAAATATAAAAATTTCAACTGCTAAAGGCAAGAAGAAAAAAAAACTATACTATATAAAAACTATATCAAAAAAATACTTTAACGAACTTAAAAAAGAAGCTCTATATATAAAAACAAGTAACAATGCGCTGGCTCAGCTGGCTCCAAAAAAAAGGTACCCTGTGCCAAACTTGAAGTAAATAATAATAAATAGCACGTACCCGGCAAGATATTAAAGTAGAAAGATGAAATGGTTTTAAGGAGCAGTCTCCAGAAACCAAAGCACTTCATAAGAATGAAACCTTTAAGTGTTGCACACCTATCCATGTATTTAATCATGCCTCTTTTCAAAAAATGGATAAATACAGGATATCTTAATAACATTTTAAACCAATTGTATATCAATTTAAACTAATAAAGTTGCATGCAAAAAATTAAGTTAATAGACAGCTTATGGAATTCAATTTATGGCATTTAACCTTCTTTTTTTATCAAAAAAAAAAAAGAGAAAAAAATATAAATTGCTTCAACAAAAAAATTTAATGAAGCGCCTGTTGTAATTGGTGCAAAAGTCAGGAGCTTTATTTTGGCTGGTCATAAATTTGAGATCTGACTAAGTTAGAGCATTCGGTGAAGCGTTCTAAATAACAGAATAAAGGCACTTAAGAGCAATGTGAATTGCTCTTTGTTTGGCAGTGGTTCAGAATTTATAACCATGTCGATGCTGATGACCTTTGATGGCAACGTGCAGGAGAAGGAGCGCCGACTGGTAAATGCGTTATTCAGACCAGAGTTTGGGGGGCTGCAGAATTTCAAACATTTTTCATCACTTAATTACGGCAATAAATGCCAGTGGAAATTTCTTTGCGCCACATCAAAATGGCATTAAATATAAAAAAAAAGAACATGTTAACGACTTGCAGCCCAAAAAATTGCAAAAACCGAACAGCAAAAAGCTCAGAGCAAATTTATATGCGAAACAATAAAGCGACAAAATACACACACTGAGCATTCTGTTAAAATGTGATAGAGGAAAATGTCGACAGAAAAACAACAAGAGGGCACAGCACATGCAACATCAACAACAACAACCAAAGACGACAACATTTTTGGGCTCACGTGCGTTGGGCCAATTAAAATTAAAGTACGCACAGGCTGGACTGTATATGTGGAGAAGCGAGTGTGTGGGTGTGTGAGTGTGTGGGTGTGTGTCTGCTTGACTGCCAAAAAAGAAGTCCAATAAAATTAAATTGCTCAACAACACCTTATTAACGGCAGCTGTCTCTCCGCCAATATCAAGGAAAAACAAAAAAAAAAAAAAATAATAACGAGAAAAGCCAACAAGAGATTGGGAAAATTACCCGACCCAATCACTTGTTTCGACGTCTAGTAATGCCTTGTTCCTCGTGTTGCCTTTTCAATTTTCCTTTTTTTTTTTTTTGTTTTTTGTTCTGCCATAATGTTGTACTTTTGCAAAGTAAAAAATAAGAAACAGCGAACAAGAGAAGCCCCATCTTTGTTGCCACGTTGCGCCTATACCCTGCAAAACTAACTAATATGGACCTGGGCCTGGGGCAACTTGTCTTTTAATTTAATTTAATTTAAGTCAACATAACGAATAACATACAACTTGGCTGTACAAATAGTTGTTTAAATTCTGAAGGCATGAGTTACGTAGGCGAAGACACACCTGGATCTAATTATTAATAGAACAAAATACCTATTTTCGTCAGGCTCAAATAAATATTGCTAAAAATTCAAGTGCAATTCAGTCCAAAGAAAATCTATGCATTCACCTACATATTTAGTTTCAATTCACTTGCACAAAAGAAACTCTTCTGTTTCAATTTATTCAAATCAAAAATAATTATTATATAATTTAATTTAATAAAAATATCCTAACCTGGCAGGGACTTGACACCTAAGCCTTCCGCTTCGCAGGCTAACATTAATTCTTCATTATATAATTACGAATAACGAATATTTCCCACATATGTTAAATTAACTATTTTAACTAAACAGATTAACTTTAAGAGCCTAACTTTCGATTTTTTTCAAAATGTTTCTCTTTCATTGACATAAATGCTCATTACTTTCTTAAGTATTCAATCTCTCATATCAAAGAAAAAGTAATGTTGGTTATTAATAGCATTTAAGAGCAATCCATCCACATTCCTTTGATGCAATCATATTATCCAGTTGCAACTGCAACTCAAGAGTGTATACAACTCGATGTTTGTGATAAGGGTATTTAAAATGCGAAACAATCACCAGCTGGGCGATAGGCATTTTCTCTGCTCCTCCAGCTTCTGCCAGACAGTTAGTAAAGACTCAAATTGCGGCCACTTGTCCTCATGTGACTTAAAGCTGACTTAAAAACTGTTCTCTCGACTGGTTTGCTGTTAATTGGTTGAGGCAAAAGCTTTGTAAATATTTTGATCAGATAAAAACTAATCTGTAGCTCTGTTTGCATAGCTCTGTAACTCAAGCGCTTTTTTTGTAAATGCTGCACACAGCACTTTGCAGCGAGGAAAGGGAATAACAACGAGCCAACCGACATCTGGGCAATTTTCATATATTTTCATACTATTGCATATAAAATATATACATTATCCTGGCAGCCGCACTGAGGCACTCACATATTATATGAAGTCTACCTGTGCGTAACGAGTGCAGCATGCAAGTCCAGTTAGATATCAAAAGGAAAGTGAAAAACAAAAAGAAAACAACAACTAAGAGGGCACGAGTCGGGCGTGCTTGACTAGTAAATACCAAGCACTGAGTGCACTGACGAGCTGGGCATCTGCTTTGCTGCCTTGCGCTGAGGAAAATGCATTCTTGTGTCTGGGAAAGTCCGCGATAGACGCGAAGAGAAGCCTTCTTGAAGGAGAAGCCTTCTTTTGCCTGTCACTTGCATCAGCCATAGGGTAATCATAATACCCTATTTGGCCAACTTTTAGGAAAAAACAGTGCATAAAAAAAAACAACTGAAAAAGAAACAGCCACACGCACAACTGCATTTGAGTGTGCACGTGAATTGCATTAGAAAGTTGCCAGCATTTACATATATGCACGTATAAAATAAATCTGCTTCAAGTGCAAAGATTGTAGTCCCACACCTGTCTAGCACACACACACACACGTACACACATTCGCACACACACAAACTCCCTTAAACAAAATCATTTGAATACAGACATTGTTGGCAGGCTCCAAGTGCCTTGCTTGTACCCACATCCGTTCAGCAGCTTGCCGCACTCAAGGATTGGCTTCTACCTATGTCACGACTTTGACTATGACTACTGGCAGGCTGTCTGTCTGTCTGTCTGTCTGACGTATCAGTTACAAGCAATTGTGCAAATGTGTCGGTTGCTATTTGGATGAGATGCGGATGTGCGATAAGCGCCGAATGCAAAAATTGAGTATAAGCTCGGCGACTGTGCGATGCATATAAAGATAAAGGGTGTAAATAGTTTCCTTCTCATTTTTACCATTTTCCGAAAGAAAACAAAAAAAAAAAATGAAAACTCCCAACGAAAATATTTTAGCCGAGAGAGCTGAAGTAAAACATACCGTGTTTATTGTTAAAAGAGGTTCACTTTTTTTTCTTATTACGCTTACGTACTAGCTGCATATCCATGGAAGGATAAAGATGTACGATATAAGAAAAGTTTCTTCTTAATAGAAAAACAATCAGCAAGACAAAAGTAGAAAACTAGACAGTTTTATACGACCATGCCCAGCCGAAGGCTGTGAGCATTTGCATCATAATAGGTAACTACTGTGGATAGATGGACTCGATTTAAGGGTATTAAGTAGAGTAACCATATTACTCGCTCTACTACAAACTATTAAATGCCAGTCAAGAAATCCGTTTTCTCGAATTTGAGCATTTACAGGGTATCAGAAAACAGAATAAGGGACTAGCCGGCAACTGTGTTTTAGTGTCGAGCTTATGGCTGCGCCGTGTCTTTGGTTTGACAACCTCCATTTCGGTAACTCCCACTTAATAGAACATATGCATGCTGTACGCTGTCTCGTATTTTATCCACCATTTCAGTACGCATTTTAACGGCTGCTTCAATTGAGCGTGCAAATGTAACCACATGAGATTTTCTTTCATGGCTGAAATGAAGAGGAATCACTTGAAGTCCACGAAAAACCGAACACTACAAAAAATATGTGGAACTCTGGCTTTTAAGTCTTAAATGCATATTATGCCTAGAGCTGAATCCATTTGTCAAATTTCAGCTTGTCAGCAAATTTGTCAAAGTTACTCAAATGGTAAGAAACAGCAGCTACCTGTTAGCCATTTATGATGCTAGCTAGAGTAAAACTTGCGAGTGGGTAGCGCCCAAGGCAACTAAGTTTGCAATTAATAAAAACCGGATTAATTACATAAAAAGCTTGTGTGGGACAAATGTCAAAGTGAAGCGCGTCTGACGAGAGACTTAACAGGGAAATGCCACTTACCCAGGGTCGACTATACAAAGTTTCACTCTCTATTTTTACGACAGTTTTAATACTTTAAAGCTGCTCTTGTGTTTCATTTTAATTAAATAGCATTAAATAATTAATAATAACAGCTAGGCCAAAATATCAGCAATAGATCGACTTCAAAAATTAAACTATTTTTTACAGGGTATATCCAATCGGGAATCTGATAATATCTGGTAAAGAGCTAACAATTAAGCAAAAACTAATTGGAGGTATATATTATATATATATTCTAAACACTTTTAAGCCATTTATTAAAGGGTATTAAGCCATTTTATCTGATAATTAATTTAAATAAGTATTTAAAGATATCCAATATGCACTATATTTAAATTAAATATTTTAATCATGTGATGTGAAGAATATGAACATAATTGAAATAATATAAATGAGCATAAACAGATTGCAGCTACTATGAATGCCGATCAAATAAGCGTTAATTATTTAATGGCATCAATGCAAATGCAATTTGAAATGTATTTTACTTGCAATTACAAAAACAAACGGCGTCAAAGAAATTGCATATTTTGTCTGCTCTGCTGCTCCAGCAGTTGACTATATATACATTTATAATCGTATTAAATATACATATACATATATCTATATATACATAAAGCTCGAGCCATTTACAGTGCGCACTCTTGACATCGTACGGCACTTTAATGCTAATAGAGCTTTTATGCACTCTGCATTACACCAAAAAAAAAAAGAAAGAAAAAACCCACTGGCTGAAATGTGCAGCAAAGTGAGCCACAAAGTACACATTACAAAGCAGAGCGGCGACAGGTACATAGTACAATAGATATAGAAACTGAGCCGGAAACTGTACAGTATATGGCACAAGGTGTGTATATGTACGTACGAATGTGCGAATACAAATACGAATACAAGTGCGGGCATTGTAGCCACCACACATTTCCGCCTGGAACCACGACCAACGAAACTGTATCTGTATCTGCATTTGTAGATGTATCTGTAGACGTATCTGTAGCTGTTCTTGTAAGTTTATTTGTGACTGTGTGAAGCAGCATATGAGCAATGGTGGATTCTCTACTTTATGTAGCGTCGCATTTAACAATAAAACCTGAAATGTTAGTAATGAAAAGCTCAAAGCGGTTATAAACCACACACACACACACACACACACACATACACTTAGACACTAGTTCACGAATCACGTGTGTGTTTAAATGTGCTTTGTGTGTAATATTGTTGTTACAGCCACTTTTACCTAATTGCTGCACTCAGTCTATGCTTAAGCACAATTGACGTGTACAGCCAGTCGAGTGGGCAGGAAGAAAGCTCTTGTGACCTGGCCCTAACGGGCTGGTCCGGCCAAGTATTACATTTGCGCCCCACTTCAAGGCCCAAAGGCAATGAGGTGGTTTAAGGCACTTCTCCACTTAAATGAGATGTGCAAACTGTTTCAAAGCGCACTTGAAATCAAGTGTTGCGAATCACAGAAGCGTCTTAAATAAGTTAAATACATTTGTTGCGTTAATTAACGCATCTAAATGTGTGGCAGGCAGCACAACTTGCAACATTGTTAATAGGTTCGAAACATTGTGGCTTTGAATTTATCGTATCGTAAGTGGCACATTAACGGCTCCAGCACCATCATAAATTTTGCCTAGAAAATGGCTTTAATTAATTTCAGAATTTGTGTGTCTATTCGTGCGTGCAATTGAATTTGTGGCAATTTGGACAGTATTGCCACTAAAGTTAATCAATCGACGATTAACACACAGCAAATATTGCATGACACACTTGAAAACTAAACCATTTGCGGATATGACAGCTTTAAGTATTTGCCATTATGCCATCTTCCTGAGCTGAACAAAAGTCTATGGGTTTCTGCTAGAAGTTAATTGCTCTGGAAATGGCAAATATGCTGCTTATCTCATCGTGCTCAGCCGCACTCTCGACTCTCTTGAGATCAAGTGAACAGCAGCCGCACTTTTGGCACACGACTAAAAGGATTTTATTATAGAAATTTGTCACCAATTGCAGTTTAGTGTAAAGCCAAGTCCCCTAACGACACTTGATAGCGTAGGTAATGGACAGCGAACACTTGCCATAAATCACAAAATCTAAAAATTGTCTGCGCTGACAGCGAGAAGCCAAGAACAAGCGAATGAAATTTATTATCGACCCCGTGAGCACCTTGATACCCTGATCGAAATTTAAAAATAAAATTAGATAGTTATCTAAAGGTTGATAAGTCGTTAACAAGAGCTAAAAAGTGTCTTCTTCCCAGCGAGATTTCGGTTTTGGAATCACAAGCTTATGTATTGTTGGAAAATATAAATAAATAAAATGATAATAATAATAGTATAAATTGAATTATAAAAATAATAATAAGAATTAAGAGCTGATTTATTAGTCTATATCGCTTTCAGATTTTATATGTTCTCTTTTGCCATATGTTAATCGAATTAATTGTTTAAATACAAATTGTACTTATCTAATTAATATACTTTGAATTAAAATTCAATTGAATCAGTTGCTAATTGTGTACGAAATAAAAACTAATAAATCTGTTATATTTCTATCTACGTAGAATCTCAGCAATTAAAGAGTATTTACAAGCACAACTCCATTCAGATTTATTAAGTTCGACTGTTGGAAGCGTTTCTATGCCCATCTAGTCAGTTAACACTTGACAGTCAGCAGACTGCACGAAATGCAGGCATTTGGCGAGCTGTGCGAATTACAAATACCAATTTAAATTCAGATGCAAATGGGCTGGGCCACAATGTGGTTGGCCAGAATTGATTTGCATTCGCCTAATCGACTTTGCAGCACAGTTTCGATAACAGAGCAGGCGCTGCGACTGTGACAGTGACTGTGACTGGGGCAAGTCCGAACCCAAAAGCCCGAAAACCCCAAAACCAAAACCCAAACCCAAACTTGACTCAAAACAAACAAATCGACAGAGGAGACAGAGGCGGCCGCCCGGACAGACAGACGAAGGAGCAGCGAAACTTTGATTGACATTTCAATTAAATTATAGCCAAAGTCGTTGGCAAAGTCATTGCGATTGCCGCTGACAAGATGTTTCGAGTGCAAAAAGTTTTACTCACCGAATACCAGGAGATCTACGAACCGGTAATGGTGGAAAGTCCCTTCACGCTAGTGGATGCACACGGAGTGGGATTGCGCCAGTATCACATCGCCCTCACCGGTACCAAACTGCTCTTTGGCTGCGACAATTTCTTTAAGCACGAGGAATACGGCAGTGAGCCCAACTGGTATTGTCTCGGCCAGGATCCGGAGATCGAGTGCTTCGACCTGATCAGCATGGTGCCGCTGGAGTATATACGCTTCAATTTCTATCGCAAGCGTGAACGCTGCCTAATGATGCTCAGCGTTCAGCCGCTGGAGCAACATCTGCCGGCAGAAAAGCCCATGATCTTTGAATTTGGTGGCCACATACACAAGCAATATTTCTGGCATACTTGGCGCGAACGCATCGCATCCATACGCACACACGAGTCGCGCTTTAACCAGATAACCGGCGCCTCACCCTTCTCCAGCAGCGATGTACAGATGGACGAGGTGCAGCACCATGTCCAGGTGCATGTGCCCCATTATCGACCACAGTCCATCTACAGCGTGTGCTGCAGCTCTGCCGGTGGCGCCTAGAGCAAAAACGAAAATACTTCTGAACTTTTCAACTCACGCATACACACAACATATACTGCATGCATGTTTTATAGCTGGGCTAAGCTGCTTAGCCGACTGCCTTTTGTAGCCAATATGATTACTGCACAATTGGCCAACTACTTTCCGACCACTGTGCAGCATCAGCAGCAGCAACCGTTTATTTATTTATAAATAAGCCACAACTTTCAGCACCTTTCTGTACGCAATTTGCGTAGCACAAACTTTAATGCCCAAAGACGCGTAAATTTAAAGTCGAGACGCATTTGTTGCTCGCTTAGTTTGATTGTATATATTTTTCATATTTATACACTAAACCTATTCAAAATAGTTGAAAGGGATATATTGGTTTTGTCCGAGAGTTAGGATCTAAGCCGATCTAGTCATCTGTCTGTATTAACGTGCCGAGCTAGATACTTGCAATAGGAAATATAATATTCCATAATTGGATACCTTCCCATTTCAATTAAAAAAGTTAAAAAGTAGAATGATTCTTAGGTATAACTATTAACTCTAAACATCAAAGTTAATCAGGAATATGTATATATTCTAGAGGGCGTGGGAAGAGGAAAAGATCACATCCGAGTGTGCAAAAAATAGCATTTGACCATATTTGGGCCTTCAAGATTTCATACGGTTCAGACTATAAGCACCGAAGTTCATCAAGAATATACTTTCCATTAAAAGCGTGCAGCAAGGGAAAAAACAGCACAGCCGCTGCCTAAAGTGAGCAGCTTGAATTTGTTGGGTATGGGTGTTTTTGCGTCTCATGCATTGAAGAAAGCTAAAATATTGGTAACAACAGCTTGGCGCTGGGCTCAGGGTATCTGCCAGCTTGGCATTCTAGCTGGTTTCTGATTTTGGTTTGGGTTGCGGCAGCCAAAAGACTTTGGTTTGGCTGGCGGCTTTGCGGCTTGGCCAATGCTGTTTTCATTTATTTTACTGTGGGCGTTTGCTTTTTCTTGGCCAACGAAAAAGTTTTCAATTTGTCGACAAACTTAAGCCGCAGCCGCAACACTTGTCCGAGTCTGAACAGCCCGTATCTCTCCACCGGCTGTCCGTCTGAGCGTGCAGCTGACGACACCAAAAATCAATTGCAATAAAATGCCCCAGCAAATGAACACAAACAGAAAGCAAACAGACAAAACACCACAGACAAAAAAAAAAAAAAAAAAAAAAAAAAAACAAACAAACAAGAGCCCAACGCCCCGTTGGGGAAAGTGGGAGCTGATATCGTCATTGGCTTCCGTTTGTTTAGAGCGTTTAATGGTCAAAGTTTTTGCTCGAGTGCTGCGTAATTTATTTGATTTGCTTTCGCTGCGTTGTTGCACAATGATAAATTACAATTTATTTAATAAAATTTACAAAATGTTCGCATTAATCATACGCCATGTGGTGCGCCGGCAAGCATACGCAATTTTACAATTTTTTCATATGCCACGAACGCACACACACACACACACACACAGGCATACACTCACAAGCACACGCACACGCATTAGGCTACTCTCTTGTAGCACAGCCTCTGAACGCCTTTGAAGCGCATAACTAATTAAAGCGCTGCTTCGAAACGATTTTCAGGAATCCGTCAATGGCAACAGCCATGCCAAAAGTTAATTAAAAACTCATCGGCTGGGCCTACATTGCGGCACAGCGAACTCAATAAAAACAGTTCAATAAAACCGATGAGCGCCATGTTTAGCAAAGGCAACACACACAGACACACACACACACATGCCAACACCCTTCTGCTCGTCCAGCCTTCTGGCCCACCTCTAGCATTCTTTTCATATGTAATACACCTGCACACTTTGCAATTACGCCACTCGGCCGGGCAGGTAATGGCATCCTTTCGAACTCTGCTTAATTACCCATTAAAAGTTATACCCTTTGCCGTTGTCTCGCTGCAATCAAGGTTTTACATTCGGCGGGTACCTTAAGAAAAATGTTGTAGGTCTTTAAGAATTTTTCGAGCATTTTTCACACAAACACACATTTTGCGCTGGTTATTTACTTATTTATGCCGTCATGGTCGTCAAATTCAAAGCCAAACCAGAAGCCACATCAAAGCTGCGCCCTAATTGCTTAGCCGAAATTTGAATTTGAAATTTCGCCAAAGTCGGTTGTGCGGTTGTACACATAGTAAGCCAATCGGTGCATTTACTAACTTAAGTGCACACACACAAACTCACACACAGATATATATCTATATAATCAATATAAATGCATTAGACATTACAACATTTTGGAGCACTGTCTGTCGAACGATCAGAGATATTCTAAGTAATATAATGAATGTGTCTCGTGTTCGTGCCCACATCCACAGGCACTCTGCACTGGCTATCAATATTTGCCGGAACAGATTACGGGGCCCACCTAGCGACTTTGAGCTACAGGAAACTAGCTGCAAGATGTCTCAAATTATAATTCGTTAATCCCTACGTATGGAAATAAAGTCATTAATGCTCGTTCTGTTAAGCTTCGAAGCCTTTTACCACCCATATTACATTGGTACATTGATTACATTACATAATTATCAGAGGAACTTTAATTTAAATAACTTCCGTTCTCAATATTAAATGGTAAAATTAAAGGCGAGCTTTCGTCTTACGGAGTGCTTGATTTGACTCTATAAGCTACAACGCTTTTATCTGAACAGTGCAATTCTTTAATATTCATTGATAGAGTAATCCAACTAAAATTTTAATGAAAACAGTTTGAGTCATAAGAAAGGCATTTTTTGGGTTTTATACATTGTTTAACTCTTGCAAAAAATTTATTTTGAATTAAAATTTGTTTTGAATTAAAATATTGAATTACACACATTTTTATAAGCTGAACGGGCTCTAAAATCAAAACGTGTTTTTAATTGCTTTGCTTAATAACTTCGTTTAATAAACCTTGGTTCGATTAACATCCTGCCGGCACATTAAATCTTATATGCGACTTTAAAGCCACGCCCAGTGCGCCGCCGCAAGGACATAGGCGTAAAATTAAAGCACAATTCGCCCCGTAAACTGACATTGATGAATATGTTTTATATTTATTGAATGCCAGTGCGCCGCGGCAACCCGTGACATCTGTGCACTTATGTATGTCTATGAGTGTGTAAATGTGTGTGTGAATGCCTGATTAAAGTACACGCGCAAATTTAATCGGCTTTATTTTGACTAAGTTTATAAGTACAAAATGCGAAAATTAAATAAATGCATATGCGAAATTTAAGTAAATTAATATGAGCTGACCAATATGGCCAAGCTTTTAATTTGAATAGCATTTAATTACTGTCATCACCTGACGATTTTGCTGATTGAGTAAATAATTCTAAAAGATTGTGCAACAATTTGTGTGAATTAACAAATTTATTTTTGGTGTGCTATCAGCACATCTTTATATTTACTTTAAATTGTAATCACTTTGCTTGTTAATTTAATATATGAACTAACTCAATGTTGTGTCTAGGCTTCGAGTTTAAGAATTTCTTCGTATTTGTTTAATTTAAAATGACCAAAAAGTCGAATTTTAATTTCAATATTTTGCATTTTAAATTATTTGAATATGTTTCTCACTTAACTTACAAGTGAGTAGACAAAATACATTCATACAAATAATAAAAAACAATTTGTTATATATACACAGTCACACTTTACGAGCCTTTCGTAGATCATTTACTCTGCATTGCGCGTCGCTATTTAATTTGCATTAAATGGGAAATTATTAATACTAGTCACAGAGCACAACAGTTTGTCTAATCCAAAAGCCTGCCTCCAAGCGCTCTTTGCTTTCCCTGCTTTCTATTTGTATTGTATTTGCGTAAATCCTTGCTAAAGCGCACTTAAAATGTTAAGAAGCACCCACAAACTTATATATACTACTTATACAATTGCGACTAAGGCATACGGTGTAAGCTCTCCATTGAAGACATTCAGACTCGTAGCATGGCCAGTTGGTGCCTGTTGCCGTGTGTAGGAATATATATATATATATACCTGGCGCAAATTGAAAACAATTTTCCATTACTTACACATGCGCGTCTTGTGCTAATTCTATTTGATTTTTACCCGATGCCGGCAAACTTTTAAATGAAACGGAACGTGCCGGGCATGCTGATGCTGCCAAGTAAGCGCCCCAATGGCAAGGGTTGCCTTTTGATGGCTGTGACCGTAAGGAGTGTGGTCAAGCAACCGCATTAAAAGTTGGCCACCAAAACGGCGCCTATGTGTGTCTTGAGTGGTGCTTTTATGTGGTTCGCGGTAAGCAGTTAAGTGCCAAAGGGCCACCTTTCATCGTAGTTCATATATGTACACTCGTTGCAACTTTTCAAATAAGAAATAAACGCTTTAAAAGTGCCAACGGAACTTATATGGCAAGACAGCGACAACATTTTGTCGCCTTTTATTATAAGCCCCTGACACATGCCTCAGCGCTCTGGGCCTGGGTCTTCTTTGCTCTGCTCTGTTCTGCTCTGCTCGGCTCGGCTATAGGTCAAAGTTTTGCGTGCCTGACGTGCTCCACATGTCTCGGCTGCTTGTGAAAAATCACAGCAGGAACGCTGAAAAGTATGCTTCATAAAAGAATTTCAGCAGCTTGCCTACATTTCGCTTTTGTGTCAAGTGCAAAAGTGACTGCCAGCCACGAGCGGCGGGTAAGTAAAAGCCGTTAATGTTTATGATAGTGATGGTTACCCCTCCCTTCCTCCCTGCCTCCCTCCTGCCCACCGCCAACACTTGCACACAGACAACCGCATGCAAGTTTGTTCACACCCACACACATCGGTACATATGTATATATACATCAAATATATTGGATACTTGGCAGCAACGGCGACAGAGGCCAAGGCACATATCACAGGGCTCTATTATAAAAGAGAAGCCAAGCGAAAACGTGACTGGGCCCCGGGCTGCTAGCAGCGCCGTTTGGTGGCTCGAATTGACAACGTCATTAATGTTTAACTGAATATACTACAGTGCACACATGTAAGTTTAAAGATGCGGTTGTGAACATAATTATCTTCCCACTCTATTCATTTTACATTTTTTGCGTTAAATGTGTCAAAATGAACTTTCGCTTTAAAACATAACATTACTGTTTGAACTGTTTGAATGTCATGAATATATTCGCAAAATTCATTTTATTACCATTTACATGTAATGCAAACAATTTGAATCAACATTTATTTAAAATGTGTATCCCTTCCGTTCATGGAACTCTTGATTCAATTCTTGGAACGGTTTTTGGTATTAACATACTAAAGTAACATAAACTTTCCGCGAAAATTATATTTTTCAGCAGATTCTTTTGATTAGTAGAAAGCATTTTACCAAAGAACTTCTTAAAGTAATTTTATATAAAATAACTATAATAATTGTGTATTTAAAAAGAAGTGCTATATTAAACAATCGGAATAACGAGTCAACAAAATAAATATTATTTGAAAAAATTTCAAATGAGAAGGCAGTCGACAAATTTGCAATTTGTATTCGTTTCCCTCAACTAAATATTCACTGAGAAGCATAGTTGATATTGTCACTATAACAAACAATGCAAACTATTTCAATTTGTTTGCTCTCCACTTGCATCAGTCCGCATTGATATGTGTGGATGTGATTGTGTGTGGGTGTGTTTGTGTGCGGATATGTATGTACGTGAGTGTGTGCTTAGAACCTATGCCCATTGAAAATAAGGGCTATAACTATAAGTCGATAAGGGCTATAAGTAGTATCCTTGCCCATATTCGCTTCTTTTTTTATGTTAACAAATTGTCGTGCCGCACGGATATTTCACAGGTCTCAAGCCTTGGAAACAAATATTTCAAATGCTGAAGCAGAGTTTTGAAGAAATATAGCCTCTGGCTAAAGGTTTATTTATTTACGGGGTATCTTCTAGTTGAGCATGCTCGACACTCGCATTTCTCTGACGCACACATATATAATATTCTCTGTGTCTGCTCAGTAAATCAAAATTCAATTTTTGCTCGAATATGTGAGCCTTACAACAAAAAGCCTTTTGGAATAAAATATTTTACTTGCCAATAACAAAAATTAGCCAAGTTTTTAATGTATTTGCATGGGTTCAATATTCACTATCCAATTGACTGGAATCTGGCAGATCCGATTTTGGGCTGGAAAATTTCAGCACGCAAATTGCTTA